GAGAGAGAGAGAGAAACCGCATTATCACGAACGACCCCCTCGAGATGCCACAAGAGACCGCGAGCTTCGCTGCCGAGACACCATTATCGTTCTCGGATCGCAAATAATGCCGCAATTAACAAGTTTCGTTCGAAGGTCGGGATAAAAAGAAACGAGCTGGCGGAAAGGTGAGAAAGGGAGAGGCAGACAGGAAAGAGTATCGGACAAGTGTATTCGCGACGAAGGAAGACGAGCAAGAAGAAGAAGAAGAAAAAGAAGAAGAAGAGGAAAAGGAAGAGGTGAAAGAGGAAGGATGGAAAAAGGGGATGTGCTTTACGTTCTGCGGTGCGTGTCTCGAAGGTGCCGGAACATGTGTTTCAGAATGTTTTGCCAGGAAAAAGAAAGAAATCCGTAAACACGGAGAGAACGGGTGAGAACGGAAGGTAGCTGGGTCGCGTCGGAACCCGCGGAGAGCGTTCCTCTCGTAGCGGTGCAGCTTACCGCGGAGGTAAATCCAGGCAGGTGTTGTCTCGAGCCAACTTCGGTAGAGCAGGAATGACGAAGACGGACACGCGGTAGTTGGACCGACGGTGTCGGTATTTCCAACGAGAACGAAGGGGAAGGAAGAAGAAAAAGAAAAGAAAAGAAGAAAAGACAAGAGATACATTGTGGTAAGACAAGATCGAAAGAACGGGTAGACGAGAGACTCGCAAGCGTGAGCTCGAGAAGAATATAGCGGAAAGTTAAATGTTGCATGAGCTTCGAGGAAGAAGAACAGCGGCGAGATTCTCGGTATCGATTAACCCCCTGACGGAAATAACGTACGACCATCGGCGAACGAACGAGCGATTTTTCGAGCCCCGCTCGATCGCGAGAACAGCGACACCTCCGCCTTGGAATCCCAAAGAGGAGGACGCGTTATCTGCCGATAGAATCGATCTTGGAGAATCTGTAAAAGGTAGCGGATGAAAAAGAGGGAAACAGAAAGAGAGAAAAGGAGAGAACGGAGAGCAAGAAGTGGAAGCCTCGTGCCTCGCGGGGAAAACACCGCGTGCGTCTCGTCTGCCACGGGAGATCCGTGTACCTCGACGATCTGTCTGCATCGTCGATCGGCGAGCCTCGATATCGTCACGCAAGCCGATCGTCACTCGACGACATCGATACACCAGTTTTTTCACAAACGAACGAGAGGCGACGCGATAGCCAACGAAGGGAGAATCGATCGACGCCGAATCGAGACAACGGACAATTCGCGTCTACTAGTTTTTCCGATTAACGAGGTGAGGACGCGTCGCAGGTTGAAAGATACGGAGGGGGGAGACTCTGCGGAGAAACAGAAAAGTGAGAGAACAAGCCACTTGTCACCAGTTTACCGTACTTTCCGGCGAAAGGAGTGTCGAACCCTTTTCAACCGGTCTGAACCGGTCGGCTGCCGATCGTTTTCGGCTGCTGCGCCTCTTTTTCTTCCTCTTCTTCTTCTTCTTCCACCGCCACCGTTACCGTTGGCGTTGCTGCTTCTTCCCAGGGATTCGCGGTGCTAACATTCCGGCGCTATAGCAGGGGACCTTTCTCGACCAACGAATATCAACTTTCCCACACGGCTCTTTTCGGGAAGCGTGCGGTTCGAAACTTCGAGCCCGCCCTTCTTTCGTTTCGCTTCGTTTGCTCTTATCGGGAACGAAGGACGAAATGAACGCCAGAGTTAGGAGAAATAGATCGGCAATGACGAGGATGACGGTGGCGCGACCAAGGTGATCGAAGTGATCGAGGTGATCGAGATAATGAACGAACGAGATGGCCACCGAGATCAGGAATGGTCAATTTTCGATTCGACCGGAGGATCGTGTTCGTTCGCGAAACTTTCCCACAACGTGCTGTTTCGTCGCCCCCACGTTTCGTTTCCTTTTAAAGAGCGCAAGCTGCTCCGCACGGGTTCGCAATCGGCCTC